TATGAATGCATAAATAAGAGCAACCCGTCACCATGTGGTTGTCGCTCTGTGAGATGTGATGATCCAGCACATCCGAAGCAGCACGTAACACTTTCGCTTTGGGCAGTGAGACAGCGCCATCCCAGAGGAGCAGCACAGCTTCCTGCAGCAGATGTGAATCCCACACCTTCTGATGCGGCGCGTCCGCAAAGCACACGCTCGCGCCGCACAGCAGCAGATGCAACACGCCGGCATCTTCTGCCACATATGCACACATGCATACGCAAACAGCAAGATGCCACATGTGAGAGCAGGATGCCAGTGACAGAAATCCTTGCTCAGTTTGATTCATGTGGCATGAACAGATTTTAGCACATGGAGCGCGTTTGCTCATGAAAATAAGCTGCGTTAAACACAAACAAAATTTGGAATTTATTCCTGGTTTCTTTTGAATTTGGGTCAGGTGTTTGTACAGTTTATCCCAAAGAAGGTGCTGTCTGGTTGGTGAGTCGGGAACATTCTTTTTTCATTCTACAACAGATTTGAATCTTTAAGAGACTTTCAGGGCCCACATATGTTGCCACTGAGTAAGTCAGGAGTTGTTCAATAATTTTTGGGATAAGTCTACTGCAGAGTGTTTGTTTTTTTTGGGATGAATGGTACGTGGTTGTACTTTTAACAACTTTATACATAGTTTTACAGCTTTAATTTTAATACTGTTTTTTGGATTAGCTTGAGAGCCACTGTGCATTTCACAGAAGTTATAGAGCACTTTTGAGTGTCTCTGAGCCTCTTTCTGCTGCTCATTCCAGCCAAATATTGCTGATCCAAGCATTATCGACCCGCCTAAAGGGCTAAACTGCATCAATAGCATAGCTTTCTAAAGGGTTCCACACACTACGAGGGAAAATATGTTTGTCTTACTGTTGTGTTGCTATCTTGAATATCAGCAACCGTAACAATTTTTCCTTTGAATTAAAGTTGTAACTCATTTCCCTACGAACAAATAATGCAAGGGGCTCTACAATAATGACAACAGGGGCTGTAGTAACAGTTTAAGCCAGGTTTAACCTTACTGCATGCTACTTTTCCTCTAGGAAGGGTTCAAAAAGAAAAAGGTCCTTTTCTTTTTCTTATCAAATATTCATCGACAGAGAGTCCCAAGTAAACACCATAAAAAACATACTCCAGTTATATTGTGTAAGCTCAAAAGGGAGGAATATTATGGAATTTGTGTGAAACTGATGGTGAATGCCTGTGTCAGTAGGGTAAATTACTTAGGCCCTAACAGTGGTGAAGCACAGGTGATTCTTCTCCCGCTAACCTTAAGCAGCGGTGAGAGGAAAGCAAGTTGTATTCAAATCCAATTCCTCCTCGCCTGCTTTCACAGGCTAATTATGGAGAATGAATTCAGAAGATAACACATGTTAATCTTAACACGTACACACATGGATCTTCACTTCATTTGATTAATTTTCTGCTTTAATTCACCACAAACCCTCTGAGGTTCCTCTCCCCTTGCTCCTTGTTAGAATCAGTCCTCAGCCACACAGAAACATTGCTCTTAATTGTAATTGCTGCTGTTGGTTGTGGTTCATTTCCTGGTTACACAGAAATGGGTCTTGATTGGATGGGGCAGGGTTTGTTGTCAGTAGGAACTAATTGAATTACAGCAGATCACATTTGGAATTAGATAATAAGCACTGATGCAGCCTCTTTAGCAATGGGCCCATTCCATGTGTGTATGTGTGTGTTTTCCTTGCAGTTCTGTTGCTTTTCTGGCCTCTGGTTCTCTTTAATGCAAGATAGCAAAGCATGTATTTTTTTTTTATAGAAAAGGAAACAGAGCCCAGCAGATACAGTGCACCCAAATTAATCTGTTCAGCTCTTGGTAATTTTTCATCTGTTGTTGGTGCTAAACATGAATATTTCTCTGAAATAGAAAAATAAACCCCAGCTGCAGCCAGAGAAAACTCATTATTTCTCCAACGCTTGAGGGAGTTTTGGCAAAAACTTTGTACGACAATTCATTATGAATGAAGGACGAGGTGAACGTTTACCCTTTTAAACGTGGTTTTACTGTGTCAGATAGCAAAAACGGTAACACAAACCTTTGGACTATGGTCATAGATATTTGAAAGAGTTGAAAATGAGTTGTACCATTTTCATTTCTGATCATCTTTATTTGGGTGATCCTGCATGCTAACTAACAGCAACACAGTCAGTTTATTGTAGCTAGCATAAGTAAAAGCATACATACCCTCTGAAAGTTCTACAGTGACCCTAAATACAGTAATTGATCAAATCCTGTGCTAAAAAAACAAGAAATTGTTGTTTTGTATTCATCACACGTCTGTTTGTTTTTTGTTTGTTTTTTCCCCCTTTAAAACCATAAAACCTCGGGGGTGTATTTGGGCGAGAAAACTGATAG